GTTTTATTGTTGTTATGCTTTTTAATTAAGAATAACAATGAATCCATTTTTTGTTTTAGTCTTAAAAAGTGAAAGGTGTGTAGATCAAAAAACGGACCTAATTTGCATGCCCTGCTGTAAATTTTGACCGGTGGATGAAAAACAAGCTTATGTGGATTCTACACATTTAAACAATAAGGTATTTAGTATTATTTATGGAGCAGGTAAATACATATAATAATTTATTAATCAATTATCATTTTGACTTGACCCTTTTCTTTATTTAAAAGCTGAAATGTGAGGTTTACCATTTATGAAACTTTTTCAAAGCTTTATTTGAACATTTACATGAGATATTTGAACATGCTATTAGATAAACTGTTGTCAGTCATGTTGTCATTTAAAATCCGGACATCATTGGCAATGTTATTGTTTTAGTTATGCAAACAAAAACTCATTTTATTTGTTGTTTGTTGATTTTAAATGTAAAACTTGGTGAAATGATTTGTGTGTCAGTACTTTTTGAACATTTCCAGCACATTTTAACAATACCGTGATAATACTGATAACAGTGATAATTTTGGTCACTATAATCGTGATAAGAAATTTTCATACCGTTACATCCCTAGTCACGCTGGAACTCTGCATCACAGTATGTTAAGTGGCATAACATTTCCGTCACACGCTTGAGGAATTCGGCCAATCACAACGCACTGGATAGCTGGCCAATCAGAGCACACCTCGCTTTTCAGAACGATGAGCTTTGTAAAAATCGACGCGTTTCAGAAAGGCGGGGCATAGAGGAGCAACAATAATGTACATTATGTGGAAAATAATGTGTTTTTTGAACCTTAAACCGCATAAACACATTGCATTACACCAAATACACAAAATAATGTTCTTTTTAGCAACGTCATATGACCCCTTTAACTAATGATCCATTATGCATTATTTAATGTTTGTTAATTATTTATTAATGAAAGTTATTATAAAGTGCTACCTAATTATATTTTCATAATAATCTTTTTTTTTTTTTCAAAAGTCTGTGGGATAAAACACCCCCAGACACTTGGTGTAAAATGCCCCCAGAGGGCTTCACTTCCCACTGTGATAATTACTGTAGTTACTATGTTCTGAACACTACATCCTTTGTTTTTCCATCAAATGTAATCTATCTAGGTGGTTGAATAAATATATTTGGACTGTGAAAAAAAGTTTCACAGTCCTTAAGGGTGGTGTTTTCCCCAACTCTACGCATGAATTATTATGAATTGTCCCGTAGCCAGCTAGTCAGTAAGGAAGATTAGTGGATCCAGATACATAATATGTAATGTGTGTTGACAAAAAATATAAAAAACAGACGTCACATAGGGCTAAATGAATAACATTTTAATAAAACTGCCACGGCAGCAGGGAAGATGAACGTGCATGCGTTATTTAAATTTGTGTTATTTTAATATTTGGTTTTGTTTTTTGACCTAAAACCTACACATACACTGATATGGACGAGTCCGCATTCAAGCATTTCAGTGGGTTTAAACAGATCACACTTTACAACTGACAGTTGTGACCTAAATATGATTTTTAGTTACAATAATTAATTCTAAAATTCGACATAATAGTAACTTACTTTTCGCGGCATTAGTCACGCGTGCACTCAGGGGATTCTTGTCAGACTTGTAAATACAGTTCCCTGGAGACTTGCTCTGAATGGATCTTTTGAATCAGTGAGTTGTTCACTCAAGAAACTGGATTAGTCCAATTCACGAATGAATGGGTTCATTGAAAAGAATCAGTTCATTCATAAATAGGAAACCGCTTTTGCGTCTCAGAGCGTGTGATGATTTCTTCATTTAAAAATAAGAAGTAACAATATGTTTTATGAAATGTAGTGGAGTAAAAAGTACGGTCTTATGCTTTGGAATGTAGTGAAGTAAAAGTAAAAGTTACTCAAAATAAAAGATAAAATACTTCGTTACTGTCCACCACTGAGCGCAAAAAGCAGCAAACAACAGAACATGAGGGTTCACATGGTCACATCACATCACACACATGCAGCGCAGAGAAAAACATCATAAAGCTAGGCTATATATATATATATATATATAATGAATAAATAGAAAAAAAGAAACCAAGACGGCAGAAAGTGGCATCCTTTTTTTTTTAAGATTTGTTTTTATTGTGAATGTACACAAATAAAAGCAAACCTTTTACAATTTCTATTATCTGTATAACTAAAAGGAGTAGTTGTTTCCACTGTTAGAAGGAAAAAAATCAAGTGATTGCGCCAGTGCCGCACGCGCGCACACAGTTAAGCATTGCTAACTTGACAATGCAGCCCGCTCATTACCATAATAAAATACAGTCAGCCAAACATATGGAAAAAACACTGCTCAGTTTAAATAATCTGTGCCGTTAAGGGTTGTCACTGTACCACCATGATGTATGCCAAACACAATTTGTTTTACGTGGATATTGGAACGTGAGTGAAGTGAAAACCAGGTTTACATAATAAATAATATTCTGGCATTCAAATACATCACGAATACGGAAACATTTGGATTTGTGTCTGATGAGAGATCCAACGTCGGTGTCAGTTTCGCTTTAGCCTAAATTAATTAGTTTTGGCTTGCCGTTTATATAGCTTATATATTTTTCATTCTTGTTCTTTTCTGAATACTGTTAAAAGGGTCATCAGATGCAACATTCACTTTTACATGTTGTTTGAATTGAAATGTGTCTTGGCAGTGTGTGTACACAACCACCCTACAATGATAAAAATCCACCCATTGTTTTTAGGGATGCACTGATACCACTTTTTCCAGTACTCGCCCGATACCGATACTTTTATTTTTTGGTAATTGCTGATACCGAGTACCGATACCAGTATTTTCATTGCATTTGTAATTTTTTTAAATATTGGGTACAGAAACCAAAAAATTTGTATAATGTTAGTTGGCTTATGCCTACTTCATTTGTCAAATAGATATATCCTTCAGTTATTTTTACACTTAGGCCTAATTATGCCCATTAAAATGTATTTTACAAGTTTTTTTTTTGTTACTTTCACGGTTCATTATTTTGCTCTATGGTACATTATCTTTTATTTAATAGCATTAGAGCTGCTCCATTGCAGCGGCTCAGTGTAATCACGCGTTTTGCTGTATCCTAATAATGCAGGGAACCACTCGTTATAAATCTCCTAACTGTGATGAACATATTTTCAGAAATATAAGTCGTTTTTTTTTCATCTGAAACGTGCTGTGATTTATATTCCAAAGTGACTAAACACAGGCTTGATGCAGAAACACTCATGAAGCAAGCAAAACATGCGCAAGGCGCGCACGTATTTGTATTGGTGCAGAATGAGAGGGACAAGTACAGTACAGCCTAGCGCATTTCACACAGGCTGCTAGTTTCACCTTCACCATGAAGTCGTGTATGCTTAAGGTTGAAAATAAATGTTGTTTATAGTGAATGCCCCTATAAATTTTGTTTTATATTTACGATTTAGTTTTAATCCAAATGATGTGTGCACTAAGTGAGCAAACATCAATAAAGATCACGCAACAGAAGTGCTCTCTCTCTCTCTCTCTCTCTCTCCTTACCGTTAAGTAACTTGTGCATTGGTTTACTCACTTGTTTTTGACATATCCGACCAAACTACAAACAGGGATGTCTGTGAGAAAGGGCTGTTTGCTCGACAAGCTTGCGCATCTGTGCTGCCGCACGCTTAATCCACTCAGCGTGCTTTGCTTATCAGCTAGTGCACATCAGCTATACAGGCGTTAATACTGAATGTTTAATATTATATTAATTGCATACATATACTTCGTAGACATCCTTAATCTCGAATAACTCCATTCTGCTGTCTGCTGTCTGTTGTTCTGTTGTTGGTGTTTCTTTGTCTGAATACAGCACTTATCACATGCTGTGTGGTATCGGCGTTTGGTATCGGGGCATTTTAACGAGTACGAGTACAGGAGCGCAGTATCGGGCATCCCAGTGCATCCCTAATTGTTTTTTTAAATCCCAATAAATCATAAGCAGTGTCTCAGATCAAGCCATTCTCAGATTCTTGGCAGAGTGACATTACACAGGCCAAGGCCCCTCCCACGATTATTGACTGACACTGGCGTTGACTGACACTGGCGCCCTGAGTGAGCTGTAAACAGTCCGCCATTGTTCCGACGCCAGAGTTGGTGTAGACAAGAATGTCTCCTAAGCGATTGAGGTGTTTTGTTGTTGGATGTAATAATGAGCACAGCAGTCATTATTTACTCCTGACATCTGAGCCGCTGAAGACGCAGTGGATTACTTTTGTTTTTGAAGGGAATGCACCCCCCGATCTACATAAATGCGTTTACATGATTCATTTCACCAGACTGCTTTGTAAACGAGGGTCAGTACAAAGCAGGTTTTGCTAAAAAGTTGTTCCTGAAGGATGGATCGGTCAGAAGAAGTGAGTGTAAGTTTTTTTATCAATATTTGCAAATCGCCTTTCCTATTAAAGAGCTAGTTAGCAAGTTCCATGACTTTATGTGGCTAAAGTGAACAGTCTCACACCGTGACTTGACACAAGCGGCGCAACAATACAGTAGAACTCATTATAATCAGTGATGCTGTCTACACTGGATGTAGCGCGACACGACAAATTCCCGACAGTAAACTGCTGCCTTACTTCTATTTATGACGTACTGACACAAAGTTCAAATGATTTGCAACGGTCGATTTGTCGCGTCCACTTCACTACATCACGGTTGTCTTTGTAGAGGGTTTATAAAAGTGATTGTTAATGACTAATAAGTCATTTACACATGTAACGCAAGAATGGAAGAGAGGGGCGGGGTCAGCAGTTGCTCATTAGCATTTAAAGGGACATGAACCAAAATGGGGCACTGTGAACAGAGCTGTTTTTGACAAGGTAAAAAGGGTATCGTTTTACACTACCATTGAGAAATTTTAACCAAAGTATGTTATAGACTTTTAATGAAGACCCTAAAGAATCATATCAACTTGTGCAAAATGAGCATCCGATGACCCCTTTAAAATCACGAGTAGCTAGTTTGCAGCTTGTGAAACTACAGTTTTATCTTTATTTTATATGTATTATTTTTGTATTTAAATAGGGAAATAAGAGGATGTATGGTCACCCGAAAAGGCAGTTGTAGTTCCCTTCACCTTGAGGAGCAGTGTTGCCAACTTAGCAATTTTGTTGCTAAATTTAGCAACTTTTCAGACTACCCTAACAACTTTTTCTTCCAAAAGCACCTAGCAACAAATTGAGCTATTTTTACATTTTATTTGGCTACTTTTAGCAACTTTTGATAAGTGACTCGAACAATAAAAGGCACACATTTTCCATCTAAATTTCACAAAAAGAGGAAACCAAAGATGCCTAGCAGTACACACACATTTGTGGTGTTCAACCAAACCGTTACCTTCAAGTGAATCTCATGCTCTCCTATAAAAGTTACTCTGATTGTAGTAGCTAAATGGGTTCATTCAAAATGTAAATGAAGCAGCTGTGAAATCTGACATTATACATGTATATTTAAAAAATATTAGAAGTAGAAAAAAATAAGCAAAATACTTTTTAAATGTAGCGTGACTCTTTTAACTCGACTTTAAAGGGGTCATCGGATGCAAAATTCACTTTTCAAGTTGTTTGAACATAAATGTGTGTTGGCAGTGTGTGTACACATCCATCCTATAATTATAAAAATCCACCCAGTGTTTTTTTTTTAAATCCCTATTTAAAATCCCCTTTCTCAAATCAGGCTGTTCTGAGAGCCCTGTCTTCCTTTAGCAACTTCCCCTGAAAATTAGTTGGCAACACTGTTGAGGAGCACAACATAATGACAAACACAAAGCACAAAAGAGACTCATTCTCTGGTTCTTTTCCTCAACTTTAATTGCTCTCTCTCTAGCCATTTGATGACAGCGAAAGAACAAGCGTGGAATTGTTTCATGAGGGACTACAACAGTATCTTTGAGCAAGTTTTTTTTTTCTTCTTGTATTTATTTTTTTATGATTTTTTTTTTCAGTTGGTTTTTAAGTCACCTTTTTCCTGTAAAAGTATTGCAATTAACAGACCTCAAACTGAAAACCGCTGACATCACAATTAAATAGCAGCGTTCCTCGCTTTCACTGAACTGTTTCTCCTTGTAAAAAACAACAACAAAAAAAGTTTGTAGTCCACAATAGGTCATACAGTCCCGTGATGTGATCTCGCTCGAGGCCGATGGAGAACGTTGCTGTGGATTGGCGGGAAATTCCAGATCCATGGAACGAGATGCTGAACTCACCCACAGAAGTCTTCAGGCAGTCATTCACTCGCTCGTGGATTCGTTCATTCAAGCGCGTGTTTCTGGAAAGGAGCCTGTCGGCGCGGAGAGCTCGGAACCAGACTGCTATGCCGAGGAAATAATGACAACGTGAACATGCAGTAACGATCAGCTATGGGCTGCATTTTCCTCATTTGATGCTCTTTTATATACCACACAACTCGATTATGTGCATAAAAACAACAGAATGTTAACCGTTTCCATCCGATGTGTCTCCTGTGTGTCTCACCCTGAGCTGCTATTTGATATGAACCACTAAACCTTCTTCCCGGTGTAGTGTCAGAGCCCAAATTCGACAATCCGTTCCGTTCGTTGCAATGAGTTATTATTCTGCGTGGTTATTATTACACAACAGCTAGCAGTCACAAAATAAACTTCAATAAATAAAATGACAAGCGCTGGCAATTATAAGTCTTTCTCTGGAAGTTACAAAAGCAGCAGAGCTCTAGTTATCCTTTATATAACTGCCTTATAATCAGAATATTTGTTTCATCACATAACAGATTTGCATTTACTGTATAGGAACAAAAATATAATTAGTCTTTTTGTATTTCTGTGACCATACTGTAGCATTTCTCTTTACTCTGTTTTACAAAAAAGACAAAGCACAATTGAAGGCATTCACAAAACTCGATGCCACCATGTTAAAGTTTTCTTTTTAATATTATCTATACATTATATTACAGTATTAACAATGCGTTCTTGTGGTTTTCTACCCATTGGGTAGGATATGTGCATAATATATTCAAGTTATATACAGCACCGTACAAATAAACAGAGTCCGACTACTGAAAGAAGCACCATAGGAAGTGAGGCACAACAAAGGTGGGGACGTTTGAGTGCAAGTGGGTTTCTATGTCTGCTTAAACATGACTGTTAGGCACCGAATTTGCTCGTGTAAATAGTAACATGCAAACCTCTCGGCTGAAAACGTAAAAAATACATTTGGGTTCGTTTTCCTAGCACGACTATGACAGCGGAAACGCGCTAATGTTAACAAAGAAAACCAAAACAGAGCACGAACATCTATGTCTCGGTTGGTACGTGAATATAAAGTAATGGGGAAGCGGACATAGGCCTACAAGCCGAACGGACAACAGCAGCAGCGGTAGCGGTAGCAGCAGCAGCAGCGGCAGCAGCAATACAGTACGAACTCAAACTGCGCGGTCAGAATGAGTGACGGGAAGCAGAGCCAATGACGGGAAGCCAAGGTTTCAGAGCCGAAGCGGATGGGCCATAGGAGAGTCCTGCTATTTAAGTGGAAAAAAGATCATATAAAAGCCTCCCACTTCGACTAAATATCCTCTCAAACTGGTCACTTTAATAAATAGGTTTTCTATGGGACTTTCTAGGGAAGGCCAAAGACTGATGGTTTACAAAGCTCAGGGGTGATGAAAAACACAATCTGCATGTCTGAAAGCAGTCCAAACGTGTGCCATGTGATTGAATACGGACTTCAAATTAAGAAAGAAAAAAAGCGGGATGTACCTCGTTATGATTGGTACACGTTTTGTTTGAACTGATAAAAGAACAAATACTGATGACAAATAACAGGTACAAGTGTGTTCCTGTGCTGCCTCGGAATAAAACGGCATTCCAGGAGAGGAGAATAAAAGATAAAATATGAGATCCATATACGATCGTGAACTTAAGTATAGTATGGATAACTGGAAAAAACAATACGCATGCTTTTTTTAGTGGAAAACAAACACACTCGTTCAGAAGGGGACAGGATGTGCATAAGACTACAGTTCCCATGATTCCCTTGCACTTGGACCCCATGACAATGCTGAAGTGACGTAAGTTTAAAGTGCTACTCGACAGGATGAAAGTGGCGCGTGTGTCGTGACTTCCATCCGCAGATATCCATGCCAGTATCTCTCACTTGGTCGGTGGAAAAAAGTGATCTGGAATCTGAACGGCTTGTTAAACCCCCTCTTTTTTTTAAATAAGTGCCATGATGCAGTTCAGGTAGGCTGGATCAGAGTTCTACATCTCCATTTCAGGAAAACGCGAAACGTGAAAAGGAAGGAAAAAATACCAGGAACCATGTGGATTGACATATGAAAAGTAACTAAGGGTAGGCGTTTCTACTCTTTAAAGAATAAGTGCAACATAAAAGCTTTGTTGTTGTTGTTGTGAGTCACATCCCCAAGATTTAAGATTTTTTCATGGCACTCAATTTGGATTAGTTGTGAACAGTTTTTGTGCACGAGTCCTGGAAATGCACAAACAAATAGAAAATGTCTCAATCCTATGACCTATGTGGTCTCTCACGCAAACAATCTGTGCCAACACACGTGTTCTTTAAATACAGGAAAGCATACAAAACCAAACAAACAGAGATTTAGCCGAGGAGCCCAAACATCCATACAAGGCCCCGAAGTTCTAGCAAAAAAAAAATAAAAATACAAAAAATAAACTTTGTATACTTGGTTCCTCAATTTTCGATTCAAATTGTGCAAGGGGAGTGTACTAACAGTGAAGCCACTCCCCTTTAGATCCAGGAGGAAGTACTAGAGAGCACAGGTGACGGCACACGCTCTCTACTGCCCTCTGCAGGTGTGTCCTAGTCACACGGGTTTGTCGCGCCGGCTATCCTTGACCTTGACGAACAGGGTTGTGCTTGCGCCAGGCTGGGTGGGGCGGCTGGCTGTCCTCTGGTTGGAGGGTGGTGTGTTATTGCTGTGCTGGTGCAGGAAGGAGGCGGAGCCTGGGTACGTCTGACCCATCACCTCGCTATAGGTGGGTGGCGGCCCCTCCACCTGTGAGTTCGAGGCACTCTTGCCAGAGTTGCTGCTCGGGGGCCGCGGGCCACCTCCGTGCACGTAAACGTCTATCAGGTCGCTGTCGAAAATGGTCCGGTTGGGGGGTGCGCGCACGGACGCACGGCTCAGCTCGAGCTGCTGCTCGGGGTCTCTGAGCTGCAGAGTACAGGGGCCTTTGTAGGGCGGCAGCTCCTCGCCGTCTGACAGGCAGATAGTGGGCGGCAAGTGGATGTCCTGCTGCAGGTATGGGTAGGTGGGCTGGAAGCGGCTGAATCGGTCCCTTTGCATAAATGAAGGTGGGTTGAAGCGCTCTCCGCTCCGTGGCCCATACATCACCTGAACACAGAGAAGAAAACATTCATTATACCAGGGATCCTCAAATCTGGCCCGCAAGATCCACTTTCCTGCAGAGTTTAGCTCAAACCCTAATCAAACACAACTGAGCATGCTATTCAATGTCTTCAGGGTCATTAGAAAATCACAGGTAGATGAGTTTGATCAGGGTTGGAGCTAAACTCTGCAGCGCATTGGCCCTCCAGCGCAAGATGTGAGGAACCCTGCATTATACCTTTAGAAATTAACTTTAGAAACTTGATTATTATTATAAATGTCGAAAACAGCTGTGCTGCTTCATATTTTTGTGGAAACCATAATACTTTTTTTTTATTCTGAATTCTTTGATCAATAGAAAGTTTATGCATCCTTGCTGAATAAAAGTATTAACTTCTGAACCCAAACCTTTGAACAGTAGTGTATATTTAGTAAACATTACATATAAGTAAATATGGCTCTTTATGACTTTGCACTGTTATATTGTTGTATATAATAAAAAGGATATATTTGTATTTATTTAGTGTAAATAGAGTCATTTCAGAGCATTAATGTTGAAATATATTGATTGTCCATGAAAGGGTGAAAGAAATATTATGATTTTCGTGCTATTAGCTCGTAGCTATGTTGCCCAGCCATAGACACGACAGTAAAACATAAGAGAAAGGAATAATATTTTGCAGAAAAGTTGAATAATAGGTCATGTCAGTTAACTAACCTCAGTGGCTCCTTGTTGCGTCACCAAACTATCTGTTGGCCATGCACAGCCGTCCTATGATAGAGAAAAGAAAGGCCGATGTGAGTCATGCATTAAGAACAAGACAAATCAACTTCATCTCATGCATTAGAGTTTTAAGTTTGGGTAGAAATACTCAAATTCGCTCCAGGCATCAGAAAAGTTTATCTAAATGCACTTGCAGTAAATAATATCATGCATTATTAATTCAAGACCGCTGGTTAGTCTTCATGCAGCTTTAGAAACTGTGCTATTCTCTAAATTTATGAGCTTGTTTCTGAATTTAAGAGCTTGGTTCCTTTCATGCACTGCATCTGTTCCTAAATCACATCTTCACCTTCTTCATATCTTTTTATGACTCTCTCTCTCTCGTTCTGGGAGGTGCGTCTAGACAAGCGTGTCTCGCTCTCAACTACAGGACGTAAATCAACATAAAGAAGAACCAGAGATGTGCAGAACTACGTATTTCCAAAATCAACTAGTCTGTGGGTTACCTACAAATGACTAGTTTGACTTCTGTATGACTATGTTGGTTTAGCGTCAAGCCCACTATCAGACATGTTTCTTAATGAAATATGGATAACTCTAACCTTTTATAGCACAAAATTACCATAGTCCACACAAAAAACAGAGACCTGTGGATTATAATGCATTATAAAAAATATTAAAGGCACAAGTCAACCTCACTAATGGAGCCAGTCGACCATCCTGACCCATCCCTAGTAACTACATAATGCATTTGTGCAGGTGTACCGACACAAAGACCCTGAAGCTGGCACGCACATCGCCGAGTCCCATATGAACACGGTCACAAAGTCACACACATGGTGATCAAACAAAAGAACAGGAACTCTACACCCACTCAGCGTGCACACAGACAGGACACACATGGTGACTGGAGAATCAAACACACACACACACACGCTTACCGGCTGCATGCCCTCCTCTCGTTGACGGGCCTGGCTGTGGCGTGTGAGGAAGGCCCAGGCCGATAGCCGATAGTGGTTCAGCAAACAGATGATTACAACTACCATTACAGTCATCACCACAATTATGATTATTATCTGAACAAACTCCAGTTCAGCTGCAAGACAAGAAAACAGAGAGAAAATCATTAGCATATTTCACACATGCACAGAGCTGCAGAAGTTACAACATTTTTATATTTTCAATCTATTTTCCCTGTGCAAAACTCACTGCTAGGGTTTTTTTATTGCTTGTTTTATGATCCGCCAGTTGAAAATCATAGCTTGATTGCTTAAAAAGATAAATACCACATCTAACCTCAAAAATGCACATAGTTTGACCAGATATCATTCATGTTTGCAGCATAAACAGTACAAGACAAGCATTCACTTTTAGGGGTTATGTTTCATTAAAAATAGTGATTACTGTTAATGATTTATGAGCTTTCAGGAACATCAGAGAGGCAGTGTAAAGCTAGACAGTTGCTTATGAATACAAGTAATGACCAAGCGGCAACCTCCCGCTCTCTCTCTCGTGAAGCCAACACGGAAGTGACTTAAACGCACCCCTGCTCCACATGTTAAAATGCACAACTTTACAGCAGAAAAAAATGTTTACAGCATGGTTCAAAAAATTATTTTGGTCTATATAGCTAATTTTGCCCTTCATGACAACTGTGAGGGGGGTGAATTTTTTTATAACTCATCCGTTTCA